AATTTTAAACATCCTCCTTAGGTTAGCAAAACCCAACATTTCATTAGTAAGGACCTGAGCCATGTTTTATATTAACTCCAACAAACGAAGTAGTAAAGTATATGACCTGGGTGGTTTATATATATATCCGGGTTGAAGCCAAATTGGCCAGGCATCTAAATTGGGTTTAGAGATTAGTTAGTTCGAATCTGACCAACCCGAATAATTTTTAGCGCAACGCTGATAAATAGAGTCTCTTTTAAGAAGGACAAAACAAGCCTTTATGCAAAAAGCAAAGCTCTTAATCAGAGAGAGTAAGATAAGCCTCTCAAGGGTAATTTTCCTACAATCTTTTTAACAAAACCTCCTTTTGTTACAATTTTTTTACAAATATAACAAAGTTTAAAGTCCTAGGGGCCGCAGAAATCCAATGTGTACCTATATATATAGTATTACTTCTCTACTTTGTTTTGATAGAGAGTGGGGTTCGGAATTAAACGAAAAAACAAAGCCTTCCCCTAACTCTTTAGGGTATTTATTATAAGACAATAGCTTAATGGTAAAGCTCTCTGCTCATAACGGATCTTTTGAGTAGAGAAGTTTAATTCTAGCTTGTCTTATTAGTAATATTATAGCAAATCTAGTTTGTTTTTATAATATTATCTCCCTTATATTAAGGTACAAATACATTATTTTATACCATATTATATACAGAATTTGTATATTTTTAAATCCTTAGTCTTTTTCAGAGGCAAAGCTAAGGTAATTTTAGAAAGAGAGTTAAATATTAAATTCAGACTTTTTCTCGAGAGATCTTTATGAAATCTAGGATGAAAAATTACCTGAATTAATAACTTGTTATATTTTTATTATTGAGCTCTCGGTTCAATTATTTAATAAAAAAGATAATAAAAATAGTGTGGGCCCATAAGGGCTTATACATCTAATAATAGTATATTAGGTTAACATAATATATTAGGCTACGCTTATACAATAATACTTTTACAAATGAACAACAATAATACTTTTACAAATACAAAATTTGAATTATGGCTTAAAGATAACAAAGCTGTTAAATTCTATCCAAATAGTGCTGAATCTAAAGCCCTTATACTTAAAGAGAATAAAGGGAAAGCAGGAATTTATATGTGGACTCACATAGAATCAGGTAAATTTTATATAGGTTCAGCAATAGATATATCAGAACGAATGTACAATTATTTTTCTAAAAAAATTTTAGAGCGATATAACACGGTGTATATTTATAATGCTCTTTTACACCATGGACACTCTGCATTTTCTTTAACTATACTTAAATATATAGATATTACAGATTTATCTAAAGAAGAGGCACGTGAATTGATACTTTCATCTGAGCAGTATTTTCTTAATTTAATTTTTTCACCTGTTATACCAAATACGTATAATATACTTTCAACTGCAGGATCTCGTTTAGGAGCTAAACATTCTTTAGAATCTATTGCTAAAATGTCTGGTGAGAATAATCATATGTTTGGTCGAACTCCTTCTGCTGAGACTATAGCTAAAATGAGTGAAGCTAAGGCAGGTAAGAAGAATCCTATGTTTGGTAGAATAGGAAAGAATAATCCTACTAGTAAAAATTTATATGTATATGATAAGGATAATATGACGACTCTATCTTATGAATTTTCTAGTTATACAGAGGCTGCTAATTTTTTTAATTGTCATAGAAAAACTATTTATAATTTTGTTGATAAAAATAAATACTACAAAAATAAATGGATTCTATCTTCTACTAAGTTATAGCTTTATTAGTTAAATTTTATAATTATAGTTAGGAAATAGGCTACACTTATTTATTTATTTAAAAACAGCTTCTTAAGCTAAACTCCCACCGTTGAACCCTTTAGGGGTTATAACCTCTTTTCAGGCCACCCAACTCCCAGGGTAGCCCCGAGCGATTTTAATTTAGATTAAGACCTATATTTCGGCTGGGCTCTTATTTTATACATAATAAGATAATAGCTTAATGGTAAAGCATTCTGCTCATAACGGAAGTGATGGAAGTTCGACTCTTCCTTGTCTTAATTTACCATCAAACGAAAAGGAATAAAGCAAAGCCGAGTCCATTCTTTACATAATTTGTAAAATAAGAGGGCTCTCAATGTATGCCATGCGCTACAACGGACTAAGTTAGTTATTTGGTTTAATAATAATATTTAGGCTCAATGTATAGCCACAAGAGGAGCTTCTTATAAGTCTCAATGTATTGCAGGTATAAGCTTTGCTATGGATTTTATTATTTAGCCTCCGGCCGCAGTGCCGGGGCCCTCTCTACTTCGTTTGTGTAGGAAAAATTGAAAAGACTTACCATTGCGCTTACAGTGGATTATTATTATAAGGGTAAGAAGATTGAGGCCACCACATCTTCTTAATTTCCCCAATGGTTAATTAATTATAATATAATAGCTGTTATAGCTTAATGATAAAGCGAATTACTGTTAATAATTGGATAGAGGTTTGATTCCTCTTAACGGCTTTTAAAAACACTTAGTTTTAAGGTTAAAAACCAAAGCAAAATGGAGAACCACCATATGTAGTCATACATTGGATTTCTGCCCCTAGGACTTTAAACTTTGTTATATTTGTAAAAAAATTATAACAAAAAAAGTAGGGGGTCATGCCAAAGAATTAAAGGCTAAAGGAATCTCCCGCATAATATTAGGATTTGCTTTGAACCTAAGATTTTGTTTCTGACAAGAAAGAAGTCATCTTTATAATATAAGACCTAAAACCTTATTTCTAAATACATCTGAAATATCCTGCATATAAGGATATATGCGGTTACCTTTAATCGAAAAAGGAATTTCGCTTTGGAAGAGCACTGGTATACCATTTACCTATAACCGCTTTATAAAGCAGGACGGGGAAGAATTGAACTTCCGGTTCTCAGTTTGGAGCCGAGCGCTTTACCACTAAACTACCATCCTTCAATATATATAACCCAAAGGACTCGCGTTTCTTCGAAATGAGCCGGGGCTTTACTTAATACCGGCTCCCTAAAGGGACTGCCCGTTCGCTAATACTTTTAGATCAGTAAACTAGAAATAGAATCTATTTGCAAAGATTAGTCCCTTTGGGAAAGGGTAAGAATGGCTCATTAGTCATTTTTATAAAACATTACGTTATTAAATATGTTACTATTAGCAATAATAACTCTAGTAATGACGATACCATTAGCTTCTCTTTATTTATCAACAATCTTAATTCACAGAATTGCTTTTATTACATTATTATACAGTGCTTTATTATCATATAACTCATTATATATTTTACCTTTATCTACAGGTATAGGTATATTTGGAGGATTATTTCAAACAACATTATTATCTCAAAGTTTAGAAATATTTATATTATTAATAGGTAGTATAATCTTATTAATAGTTCCTGAAGAAAAAGGAATAAATACAAAAATAGTTTCTTCTCACGGAGGAAATGTTAAAGATCCTATTAAAACAACTTTATGGAACTATTGGAATAACTTATCATCTAATGTTAAAGAAGTTTCATCAATTAGAAATAAAACTAATAATAATTTAGGATTGAAAGATTATCCTTTAATTATTTTATTCACTACATTAGGGATGTTATCATTAATATCTTGTTCTGATTTAATTACTATGTTCTTAGCAATAGAATTACAAAGCTTTGCTTTATATATTCTAGCTACTATGAATAGAAATTCAGAATCTGCAGTAGCAGCAGGATTGAAATATTTCTTATTAGGTGGTTTATCTTCTTGTTTTATATTATTAGGTTCAACATTAATATATTCTTATACAGGATTAACAAATTTTGAATCATTAAATATTTTACAAAGTGTAATGGATCAATCATTCTCAAGTAACTCTTATAACTACTTGGCTATTGGTTGTATAATTTTAACTATTGGTTTATTATTTAAAATTGGTGCAGCGCCATTACATTCATGGGCTCCAGATGTATATGATGGAGTACCTACTATGGTAACAACTTGGTTAACTATAATGCCTAAATTATCAATTTTATTATTCTTAATAATGAATAATTTCTTAGTAGAATCTAATTTATTAATGATCTCAGCATTATTATCTTTATTATTAGGTTCTATTACAGGTTTAGCTCAATATAAAATAAAACGATTATTAGCTTATAGTACTATATCACATGTAGGTCTTATCATTTTAGCATTAGGGAATAATACTAGTCATGGTTTAGAAAGTACTATTTTCTATATTACTCAATACTCTATAACAAGTTTAAATATTTTCTTAATATTAATTCTTTTAGGTAATACTTTAAATAAAGATAAAATTATATCTATTTATTCTCCTATTCAATTAATTTCTCAACTTTCAGGTTTATTCTTTACTAACCCAGTTCTTAGTATAGCCTTTGCATTGTCATTATTCTCTATGAGTGGTATTCCTCCATTAATAGGGTTTTTTGGTAAGTATTTTGTTATTAATTCAGCTTTAATAAGTGGTAACTATTTCTTATCTCTAGTTGTAGTAATAACTTCAGTTATAAGTACAGTTTATTATCTTAAAGTAGTTAAAACTTTATTCTTACCTACTAATGATACAACTATTACTACAGAATCTAATAATTTATCACCAATATTAGCTTATATTGTAGCTATATTAACTTTATTTATTATGTTCTTTATAATTTATCCGACACCAATATTAAATAGTATACACTTGATCACTTTAAATACTTATTATTTCTAATGAACTCATTTCTATTCTATTTTATATTAGTACCTGTTATTGTTATAGCCTTATTAGCGCTTAACCTATTCTTTGCTACTTCTAAACCAAATGAGGACAAATTAACTACTTTCGAGTGTGGATTTTCTCCAGTTGAGCAAGCTAGACAAAAATTCTCAGTACATTTCTACTTAGTAGGGATCTTATTCTTAGTATTTGATCTAGAGGTACTTTTAATCTTCCCAGCTGCAGTATCTATGTACAATATAGGACAATCAGGATTTTGGATACTAATCTTTTTCTTAGTAGTGTTAACAATTGGGTTCGTGTATGAATACGGATCAGGAGCGTTAGATTATGCTAATAAAGAAAAGGAAAACGAACTCCCAAAGACTTGATCAGCTTCCTACTATCGGCCACAAAATAGCTGTTATTTGTGGGAACAAATTCATTTGCAAAGTGGCCGGGTAGATGAGAACTTGACTTTCTCCGAATCTAAGCTTTATTACTCGGTAATTAGATAAGTCTTACGGACTAAATATGTTAAGATGAGAAGAATTCTCCATGGCGGAGAACTTGACTGTAAATCAAGCAACCGAAAGGTTATAGGGAGTTCGATTCTCTCTCTTCTCAGGAACAAAGTTCACCCTTCCTTGATTTTTTGAGATAACCAAAAAGCCCGCCGTAAGCGTATTGACGGAGTTCTATATATAAATTATAACCTTAGAATTTAAGAGTACCTAAGGTTTATCCTTGAGACCAGGTTAAAATTTTTAAGAACAGAGAAGAGGGAGGGTGAAATATCCGGGCTTATTTTATTACAGGATACCCAAGATAAAGGTCCGGGTATTGTATCATCATAATAACACAAGTATTAATAAGGCGATTATAGTTCAATCGGTAGAACGGTAGATTGTGGATCTATATACCAAGGTTCGAACCCTTGTTTTCGCCCATATATTCTATGTCTTCCTGCTTCATATTAAGGGACTATTTTTAAACCAGTCTCCTAAGAAAAAGAAGCCAAAGGCTTCCAAAAATTTTGCCCCTTTGTTATAATTTTTTTACAAATATAACAAAGTTTAAAGTCCTAGGGGCCGCAGAAATCCAATGTGTACCTATATATATAGTATTACTTCTCTACTTTGTTTTGATAGAGAGTGGGACTCGGCTTTGTTTTTCTTCCTCTCCATAATTCTATAACTGTTCATCTAGGGAATTTAATTAATACTTTAATTGATATAAAAGTCGTTATAAAAATTGATAAAATCGATATTGATTTGTTCAATTCTATTATAAGTTAGTAGCTTTGTAATTTATATGAGTTTTCTATAAGAATTGTGGCCCAGACCTCATAGGACAGGCACTCTGTAGGATTAAACAAATTAATTAGACGGGTTCTTAAAGAATGATGCTACTAATCTAATTTCTCGGTTATAGGATTTGACAAATATATTATAATAAGACTATAAAAAATAAAAACATCTAACAAATTAAGGATTTAGAAAAAAACAAAAGTGATACGTTGGCTTTTTTCTACTAATGCTAAAGATATAGGTACATTGTATCTAATATTTGCATTATTCTCAGGTATGATTGGGACTGCGTTTTCTGTTTTAATTAGATTAGAATTAGCAGGACCAGGAATACAATATTTACAAGGTGATCACCAATTATATAATGTAATTGTTACAGCGCATGCTTTTATAATGATTTTCTTCATGGTTATGCCAGCTTTAATTGGTGGTTTTGGTAATTTCTTAGTACCAGTAATGATTGGTGCAGTAGATATGGCATTTCCTAGATTAAATAATATCTCATTCTGGTTATTACCTCCATCATTAATTTTATTATTAGCTAGTAGCTTTGTAGAAAATGGGGCTGGTACAGGATGGACAGTTTATCCTCCTTTAGCTAGCTTACAATCTCATTCTGGTGGTTCTGTTGATTTAGCTATTTTCAGTTTACATTTAGCAGGGATTAGTTCAATGTTAGGTGCTTCTAACTTTATTACTACTATAATTAACATGAGAGCTCCAGGATTAACTATGCATAAATTACCATTATTTGCTTGGGCAGTATTAATTACAGCTGTATTATTATTATTATCATTACCTGTATTAGCGGGTGCTATTACTATGTTATTAACAGATAGAAACTTTAATACTTCATTCTACGAACCAGCAGGTGGAGGTGATCCATTATTATACCAACACTTATTCTGGTTCTTCGGTCATCCAGAGGTTTATATCTTAATTATCCCTGGATTCGGTATTATCAGTCATGTAATTTCAGCATTCTGTGGTAAACCAATCTTCGGTTACATGGGTATGGTATATGCTATGTTATCAATTGGAGTATTAGGATTTATCGTTTGGAGTCATCATATGTATTCAGTAGGATTAGATGTAGATACTAGAGCTTATTTCACTGCTGCTACAATGATTATTGCTGTTCCAACAGGGATTAAAATCTTCTCTTGGTTAGCAACTTTAGCAGGTGGATCAATAAGATTTACTACTCCAATGTTATTCTCTTTAGGGTTTATCTTCTTATTCACTATTGGAGGGGTAACAGGTATTGTATTAGCTAACGCTTCAATTGATGTAGCTTTACATGATAGAAGTTTAATTAACAATGTTGATTATTCTTATTTATCATTTTTATTATTAAATAAAAATAGACCTCTGCAGGTATGTTATTATAGCTCTAATAAAAATGTAGATATAGAATATATAAAAAAATTTTGGGTAGGTTTAATGGATGGAGATGGTAGTATACAAGTAAATCATTGGAGAAAGAAAAATCTTCAATATAGATTTGTAATTAAATTACGTTTCTGTCCAGAAAATTTAAATATGTTAAATTTAATAAAAGATACAATAGGTGGTAATGTTAAAATAATAAAAAATGAATTTATAATATGGGTGACTAATTCAAAAGTTTCATCTAAAAAAATGTTAGAAATTTTTTATTTATATCCACCATTAACTTCTCGTTTACGAGCACAAATTAAATTTATGGAAGAATGTTTAATTAAAAATGATGTAGAATGGTATTTAACAAATAGAGATAAAAAATATTCATCACGATTATCTTATATAGATACTAATGTATCTTATTATTCAGAATGGTTATCTGGTTTTATCGAGGCTGAAGGTTGTTTTAGTATAAGAAATTCTAATAATCATTCATTTAGTATAGGACAAAATGATGATCAATATTTAATAGAATCTATT